GATGAGGTCAGATTATTCCAACACACATGAACGCACAATTACATTTGTGAGGGTGACACAGACAAATTAATAATGTTGCTCTGTACCATCTGGATATGTTTAAACTGGCAACAATTCATATATAAAAGTGTGTTATTAGTTTGCTGCCGAGGCAAAAGATTTTGTTTAATGGAACTTGTTATACTGACTGAATTCATCAGGGTGTAGTTCAGCCACAAAGGCAGGTTAATAAATGGTATCCTACAAATTAAACTGTGCATAAAACTAACTAATTGAATCTCTACTGGACATGAATGACGACACTGTAAGGACATACCAGAATGGAGTAGCTTATATAATATGTCTTACCTTTTGAACTTCTAAGCCCAAGTCTGGAGCTTACTTATTATTAGTGATAAGGTGCAGCAGTAAATCTTTGTCTCCGACCTCATGTCATGGCCATAATAAGATATGAAATTATTCACCTTCCTCCCGCAGCCCCCACATTCTGTCCTTTCTCACCCATTCAAAGATTTATTGAATCAAATTCCCAGTTCACATAAAGGCGTCGTCTGGCTAATACCTCACCTCTGCAACGGAAACATGTCCTAGATTCTACACATTAGCCAGGTGGCTCTGTTCCAATGTTATAGCTCATGATAGATATCATGGAGAATGTGGTCTGCTCAGTGTAAGTCATATTTTAGACAGAGTGATCTGTCAAGGCTTTCCTGGCGTTGCTGTCAAAACTTGCCAGAGGTGTTTAAGTGTGAAGCAGAGGCAAGACAACTTTACAACTGTCCCCCTGAGTCCTGACCTGAAGACATGAATGAAAACCTATACTTTCTTAGCAGTCTCTAATAAAGTCTGCCACATTTAGCAGGTATCTAGATTAGCTAAATGAAGCGTACAGCAGCTTTTCCACATCTGTTAACTTCATTCCACTCCTTCCCCTCTCTGCCTGGGTTACTGTATTTTTTCTACATCTCATCTCATTTTTGAGGTTTATTTTTAACCAACTATGGCTTGGAATAGCTTGCATCCTCAAATGGAAATTTGGGATGAACACAATGGGAACTTGGCTGCTTCACTGTCACCCTCAGAGGGAATAAGTGACTCATGTAACTTCGATAGAAATGACTGATGCCACACCAAAAGAAGAGAGGAAGAAGGAATCGAAGAAAAAAAGCCAGAAGAAAATGTGAACCAAACAACAAAATCACAAATTTATACTGACACTTGTCCCCATCAAAAACTTTGTACAACTTTGATCTTACTTTTCTTTCTTTTTTCATTATGCAATTGTCGTTCCTAGAGTGATGAAAAGCACATTGCCTTTGCTTACATGTTCCCATTATAAAGTAATAACTTCCCAGCGTGGCTTGCAGGCCTAATCCAAATCTCGGGAAAGAGCAGGGCTATTAATCAAACGTTACACCCAAAAGGGTTTTTATATAGCTGTAGAAAGAGAAAATATACCCCATTATAAACACACCACTGTCCACGGTGTTTATATCCAGTCAGGGCTTAGAAATGTAGCATGGCCTCAGTCACAGTAGGAACAGGTCAGTGTATTTGCAATGGATTAGTGTTTAAAAGGTAACTTTTTTACCAGTAAGGGAAAAAAAAAACCAAGCTGCCAGTATAAAGCTATACGCTAATATTGGCCACTAGGCGACAAGGACAGAAGACGAAAAAATAAGGCAATTTAAATTGTTCAAGATATTTTCTAGATATATAAATTCTACAAGTAAAAGCTTACACGTGATGAGCATTATTTAGACAGGTTCCAGTTATTTTGGACTTAATTTATTTAAGGTTGGCTCCTATGAGGCCAACAAATTTTTTTTTTAAATATTCAAAAGACGTAGTGGTTCTCCACTGCAATTTTATCATGGCAGTGTGGAGCACATTTAGAAAAAAAACACAGAAAATATTAGCAGAGCAGGTATAGCTCTTCTTATTAATATTGTTGTATCAAAAATGGTTGAATGGAGCTTTTCAACCTTTTAGCTCAATGTTTTGGATTAACGGTTGGCTTGTTCAGCGGCTTGTACAGTTGGCTTGTTCAGTGTTATTTATGTTAGAACAGCAGAGGGTGATTGACTACCTGGTAAATATGGTGGAATATTCTGCAGCTGCAGAGCCAGATATTTCTCACAGAAGTTGGTGGAGAACAAAAAAAGAATTAAAAAAGATATTGGATGTTTATTGTTCACTATAGGTGGCGGAAAGATAAATGATAATGTTTATCATTGTGTTAGTGTGTGTAATATGTCAGTTTTGTGGCAGAAATACTATATAAATAAACGTTCTGTCTGGTGTCTGGAATGGTACGTTCAGCGCACATGAACTTGCTGCAGTCTTGTTTCTGGCCTTCAATATCTGACAGTTTATCTATTCCACTTTCTACACAGACTTCACTGTGTGGAGGTCTGCTGCTAACCTGGTAGAGTAACACAGGTTCAGCCGTCTGCTGCGTCTGGAAATGAAGCTGATTAGAGCAGTTTGTTGATTGCAAAAGAATGAGCTACAAGCATAGACTGTATATATTAAGAGGCTACAAGAAGCTGCAAAGTTCAGTAAAAGTGTAATAACCTGCAGAGTTGAGTGACATAGTCATTTGATTCTGGGTCAATACAAAATATTGATCAGTGCAGCTTTGAACCAGAGGCAGAAAGCTGCAGTGTGGTTTTGTGACTCTAAGCGGAGCTTTTATTCAAAAAAAAAAAAAAAAAGAAGCACAATTCCAAGTAAGCTCTCAATCTTTTGATGTTCTAATGTGGATGCTAATAATAACTTACTGGGGTCTAGCTGCAAAGACACTTTCCACTTTGCCTCATTTCCCACCAAACCTATAATTCCTCCAACGTGCACACATGGCTCAGAGCTAAATCAGCCCTAAGTGCTACATCCCATCCACATTCCACATTTCAAAAGAACTCTGCAGATAAACATTTCTGATCCTATGTGGTGCAACAAAGCAAATGGTCCCCTGTAGATATTTCCACTGTTATGCAGGCCAGATTGAAGAATGAGGAGCAGATCCAGAGGAGAGAAGGCAGGGGCCTTATATAGTCAGAACAAACTCATCCCCAGGCTCAGGTAGCCAACAAGATTTTAAGCATCCAGAGCTGTTGAGCTGTTTCTGAAGATAAGAGGAAAAATGTCAAGAATCCTTAGCTCAGATGGGAAAACGGGAATAAACTGAACAACCCTGATGTTTATGTGTGCAAAGTTGTGTAAGAGAGAAAGATAATGATCTTTGAAGAGTGAAAAAGAAATCAAAAGCACAGGAGACAGAGATTGGTGATAACAAAAACAAACAGAATCCAAAAAGACAAACTGACCAGACCACAAGCCAGAAGCAACTCTCCCCATGGCTGACCCCAGCCAATCACGATAGTCCACTCTCATCAAGGGGGGGTCAAAGCTTTAGCTGTCAGGCTCCATCCCCCAGTTCCTGGACCTGGTTCGGCTTCACCCCTCAAGTCCTTCAACCCCGTTGGGACTGTTGGTGCAGCTCAACGCCGGACTGTGGGATCTGCACTGACTTCTTTTGTTCTTAATGATGGCATGTGTTTATTTATGTTAGCCTTCTGTGGGCGGCAACGGCGACATGTGAAAAATCATCTGAGAGGAGGGGTTGTTAAAGTGTGAGAGTTGACACACTCACTCTGGCACTTGTTTTAATAAAGCTGTGCAACTGGAAGATAAATAGTCCGGACAGATGGAGGGAAAACAAGGCTGACTTGGATCTTTGTGCCAAGACTTAAAATTCCCCCTTGCGGCAGTGAAATAACTGTCCGCTTAAGTTGTGTTTTATAAAATGCCAGCACCACTTTTCTTTCAATGCAGTGTAAAAGTCTCACTCAGAAGAAATTACACTCAGATTGTTCCATTATAGTCAATTATAGTAACAGGTCTGCTTAAGTAACACACACACACACACACACACACACACACACACACACACACACACACACACACACTTCTTCACAGTCCATTGGTACCACACACAAACTCTTCCTTCCTCTTAAAAAAACACAAAACTCTCCTCACTACATCACACTCCGTCACACAGGAAACTTAAATACACACACACACACACACATTGGGAAATTCTCTCACTGATAAATGCGGTTGCGGTTGTTTAAACCAGCAGCCCCCGTCCTTGCTCGAGTATTGTACTCACCCCATGGCGATGGAAAGAAGTCCTTCTGGCTCTGCTGAGCGACCTCTGCAGTCTCAGCACACACTCTCATGCACATGCACTGATGGATTCTACCAAGGGGGTTTCCTCTCTCCTGGTTTTTCCACTTTTTACCCCCCCACCCTTCTTTCCCTGGCTTCAGTCGTATCCTTTTATGGAGCTAGAGTGGAAGATAAAATTTTAAAAAAGAGTGTTAGAAAGGGAAGATGAGAGGTGATCATAATAATTGCTCCCCATGTCCCACGCCAGGGACCTTACCACCCTCCAGTGATACACCACTCTTGCCTCCAATCTTCCATCTTTTCCACTCCCTCCTCCTCCTCCTTGTCAGTGACAAGATTTTGGTACTTACCTGCTGGCCAACTTTCAGGGCCAGGAAAACCAAATGGTTCAATTGGTTATTGGAACAGTTATATAAAGGTTTTCCTGAGCTTTCTGAGTGATTAAGATATCTCAAACCACAGAACCCACTAAATTTTGAAAAATAAATGTATCCCCCCTCGATAAGTATTGGCTTTCAGGTGTAGGTTATCATGGCCATGCCTTCCAGTGGTTTATCTCATGCATCCAAGAAAGAATTGCTTGTATTAGAAGTGGTTATCCATCTGCTGCCTCTTCCTACATTCATCTTCTTATATTATACTGTAGAAATTTCCTCTGGGCTCAATTTGTAGAAAATGTGACACCTCCTATTACTGTTATGTCTCAATTATTAGCTTTTTCCACCTTACATCTATTATTACATTGAAATCATTCCGGTTGTCGAAATGACTTGAAACTGACTTTTTTTTTTATATCTTCCTCACAGTAAGTTTGGATTGGCTTAACCACAAGACGATATGTCAATCCTGCCAACACTTACACTACACTCAGCTTGGATTCCTAACTGCCTGACGTCTACAAATCATCGCTGACTAGACTGAGAACGAGTGAAACTCTGGGGGGGTAAGTTTTCTCTCTAAATGAGATTTTTCAGTTGTTTATCATTTGTACCTTCAAATCCTGCAATAAAGAAGGTCAATTAAAGCTATAATCTCTTCTCTCCAAGCTCAGCACCATCAGGATGGTTTGATATTAGTCAACATCATGAATTTGCATGTCAAACTTCATTAGTGATGAATTCACTTTAAAAAAATAACGGTGGGCTAGGGCTACACGATATGTTGAAAATGTATCGTCATTGCAACATATATATAAAATGATAACACATGTTGCATGTTTTCTAACATTGCTAAACTTGCGACAGAGCTTTTCTTTTTACTATATGAATAATTGATGATCTATCTGTCGGTCACTTTATGACTCTCAAGATATTTTAGTTCAGAGAAAGGGTCCTATTCTATCATTTATACAAACAGTGCAGATTAGCCATCATTATACACATCGAAAGATAAAGAACTGGACACTGCAGGATGAGGTCAAGAACAAGGCATGACTAAACACATTACCACCGTCAAGGTCAGTTGATTGCAAGTTATCTAAAGGTTGAAAGTGTTAAAGAGTTTCATAACTCTTATGTGATCCTCTGAACAACCGAAACTGCCCTGTCTCTATTTGTTCCCGAGACAGTTTTGCTTTATTTTGTAGTTCTAATCTCCCTCATGTGTCTCACTTCAATTTACTTCCTGCCTCTGTGTTTCCCTCCAGAGTCGATTGTTTGTCCCTCCGTGATTTGTTTCATCTGCTTGGTCTGTGCCTCCTCTTTCCAGTTTGCACTAGTTAAGTTTGTATATAAGTCAACTCCTCAGTTCTGACTTTGTCGAGTCCCGATCCTGCCTTGTTTTCCATGAACAGTCCGAGTTTCGTCTGTATGTTTTGTGCTGTTTTCAAGAATTTCTTTTTTTTTGGATGGTATCCAGTCTGCTTCTGCATTTGCAGGTGTTTCCACTGCAGGGACCAGTTTCTAAATTAAGCTTCAGGGAAATATTTTTACCATCCAAAAAGACCTCCCACTATACAAAAGTAAAGCAACCTTTGTGGTGGGGGTTAAAGCGCGATCAGATGCCTCATTGGTCGTTATTTCAGCTACTTTATTCAGGTGCTTTAAAGACACATAGTTTCTTGTCTCTTTTCCTATCTACAGTAGCACTTTCATCCTGAATGACATCCATGTTCACTGTTGTAGTGTTGCTCGATTTATATTTCATTATCCTCTGCAACACTGCCTTCCAGTGTACTGGAGTGGAACAGCTTGTTGTAGCTCTCTGTTGTTCATATCTGTAATTTGCCCAGTCTCCCCTTGTTTTTGCCAGCGATGGACACATAAGTGAATAATGGTCTGCAGGAATCTTTTAGTCCCTTGAAAAGTTCCCTGGACTTGTGGTCAAAACATGGTTTAAGTTATACGATCATATGACTAAATGTATATTATGCTGTTCAGACTGGTTAGAACTGCTTTCCTGAACTGAGGATGCATGCATAATTTATAGTAATTTTATTTGTGTGTGTGTATGTGTGTGCGTGTGGCCACCTGCTCTGTGATGGGTTGGTACACTGTGTTTGTTCTCGGCAGATAAAGGCTATTGGGGTAGAGGAAGCCCCTTTGATTCAAAGGTCAGTGAAGGCTCGAACAGGAAACGCTTTCAGACGAGACGGCAATAGAACCATCAGCCACCTCTTTCAGCTCGCCCCCTTTCAGCTTTTAGCTACAAACACTGCTGTGTATCAGTGGGGATAACACACCTGCTCGCCTTGACCCATTTCAATGCGAAAGCAGAGATGTGCTATTTGAAGTGTCCCTCTCATTTCTCTATCCTTTCATTGTCTTTTATGATTATATTAACATCTTCCCATTATTATAAGAAAACATTTTATTAGATGTGCAAATTAGGAAAAATACTAAGATTATATATAGGCTATGAAAAATGCATTATCTACTTCCGAAATGTGGTGTTCTGTCGTTCATGGAAGAGCAAGCCCTACAAATTAAAACTAAACTAAACGATGTACATGCACTCCACAGTGACCCATGTGTTTACTGAACTGACCCTATCACCCAGTGGAAATCATTTGTCTGTACTGGTTAGGTTTGGGTATGATCATGGTTTGTTTTAAAAAAAAAAAAACTACTTTTCAAGTCTGGAGGAGCTGTATGTATATGAAGACAAATGTCTGAACGGATTGAACTGGAAATAAAACGGCTCCATAACACAAGGTCTGTAATGTCCAACTGTGCAGATGTGCAAACAGACAAAAGGCTGAAACAGCCTGACACTAGGCTTAAAGTAAATATGATATAAGGATATCATGAATACATTAAGTAGTGTATTGTGGTAAACACTGTGCTCAATTTCTTGGCCATACCAATACCAAGCTGGTCGTATAGCAGGTTTTGACGTAGTCCTGTTTCTGTTTGTCGTCTTTACATATTTTGAACCTTTGTTTCCTGTTCAGTCTGTACTCTGTTTTCAGTTGTCAAAAACTACATCCGTGCATAACAAACACTTCATCCCTGTAGCACGCAGAGCTTCCCCTGACAGCATTGTTTACCCAACATGCAGATGACCGTGCCGCATGAGAACATAATTTCCCGTTAAGGGATTTGGCATTCTCAGGGAAGCTCAGCCAGTCCAAACACCAGAGTTTACTCTGAGTTGCAAAGCACAGTGTGAGACCGTGCTAACAGTGACCGTGCTAACAGTGGGACCAGGATGCAGGATGCAGTTCCATGAAAGCTGAGCTGGGGTTCATCCTGACCACAAGAGATTAGATTTGCTTGAATCTACAGAATTTGGAATGGGACAGGAAATGAAGTCCCTAAAAGGCAGCAGACACTCATGCAAACAAATGAGAGAAAACACTATCAGTATCACAGATCTTTGGCTATTTGAAAAATCAAGTATTCGTGAATTCCCATGCATTTGTCCTACAATAACAACAACAATAATAATTCACACACATCACATGTTTATATATCATACATGAATTAACAACACTAATTGTTTAGGACATCTGCCATTGTCTTAATTTAAAAAAAACATTTGTAGTGTCCTTCATTTATTAAATAATATCTAAGATCTGAATTAATTATCTGAAATATTTATTCAGGGTATCAACAAGCTCTTATTTGACAATTTCCTCATTATCAGCATCAACATAGCACAATGAGAAAGATAACTTACCGACTGCTGTTTTATTTCACAAATGCAGCTGCAGAGGAAGTTTTAGTGTGTGCAGCGGTTGAGTGTATGCATGGGTCCACATCTCTTGTCTCCTTTCAGTTGTATAAACATCACCCCTGTCCTGCCCTTTCTCTCTCATTCCATATACTGCACCTGCATTCTATCCTACCACTGTGCCCTTCTGTTTTGATGTGTAAATGTAAAATGTGTTGGTGCAGAGAGAAATAACCATTCTTCCACATTATATCAACATCTAAACCCCCCCCCCCCCTTTTTCCATCTTTCTGTGCTCATTTCCATTTCATAGGGAGGAAGGCTGATGGATAAAGATCTTTCTCTGCCTGCTTAGCATTTGAATCAAACATCAATGTACAGCTTCTTTTAATGCTCCTGTGGCCTCTCGCCCCCTCTCTGTCTGAATTTCCGGCTTTTGTTTCCCTCCTTATTTTTTGGTCTCTCCTGGTGTTCATTCATTCTTTCTCTTCTTCTTTTCTTTTCTTGATTTCCCTCTGGAGTACTCGACTTTCTCATCACTTAAAGTAGGTCTCACAATTGATGACTTAAAGCTGCGGTGAGGAACTTTTGTCTACCCCTTCTGGTAGAGAGAGTAATTACACACACACTGAGTGATGAGGCAACATTTATGTCCTTTCTCAGTCCTTTCTCTTCTTTCTACTGTTTCTGACGAGGACAATCTGTGTTGTCCCCACCATCAGTCATTGTCATTTAAGGCTGTAATCCTTTCTCGGTTCACATAGTATGAGGAAATTTGCTCTGGCACTTCCTATGTTGTTCCACCATAGGCTTTTGAGGGGAGGTTAGGCTTGGTTGTGGTGGTGGGTGTTTGACCACCCAGGGTTGTCGTCTGGCCTGTCACATGGTAGTCCAGTTGCCGGGCTACTTGTAAATGTAGATGGTTCGAGACAGTTTCACCACTGAGGACTGATGAACCTGTAGCCTGATGAACCTTGGGTGATAGTTTACTATCAATTAATCAATCACTAAATTAAATTATATGTATAAAATATGAAAAAGGATAAGAAATAGATAAAGATAGAATATTAAAATGGAAAAAACATCCACAGCAACAGTCAATTTAGAGTCTCCAATTAATTAAGTGAGGCTGCTCCAGAGACGTGTACCATAGCAATAAAAAGAGACGTGTACTGATGGCAGTTGTAGGAGTAATCTGAATAAAGAGGCATTACAGAAAAAAATGAGCTAGTTCACAGGTCTCTCCGTAAATCAGCGCTCTTCAAAATAAAAGTGGAAATCAGTCACTTTATATATTCTCAGAGAGGAGGAAGTGTTCCTGTGTCTGGTTGTCTTCAGTGTTCAGACTGGATAAACCATCACTGAAAGCAGGTGTGTGTGTGCGTTCATGTGTGTGAGTTTGCTACTCATTATGAGTTAGTGTTTCATGAATGTGAATGTATGCATCACATGGTTTTGGCTGGATTTACTCTACATTGATATACTTTATAAGACAATGTACCAGTAAAATACATTGTGTGTGTGTGTGTGTGTCTGTGTCTCACACTTGCATGAAATGAATGTCTGGTATACTTAAATGTTGTTATATCAACACAACCTGTCCTGCCATGTTTACATGACACATACCCACTCAACAGGTTCTTTGGCAAACTCTAAGCATTATGGGAGATAATGAGGCAGCTGAGTAAACCTTCACAATGCTGCCATCTAGTGGCCAGATTTGACCTTTGTCATGAAGCAACACCATGAGCAATAGAAATGAAAGAATATTTAAGAAAGTTTGAAAGGCATCTGGTATTTAACTAATCCCCTTCAAAACTAAGTAACAGACAAACCTGTCACAGCAGCTTTCAATCTGAGAAGAGCCTGATCAAATATTAATGTCTTGAAACTACTTTTGAATTAAAGACAATAATCACTTACCTAATAAGAGTTGTTCTTTAGACTAAGGCAAAACTACTACATCTTCGAAAAGTTAGTTGGTGACCGTTTGTCGTTCTGTCAATCCTGCACTGGTTACCAGTTAAATACAGAATTGATTCCAAAATTGTACTGTTTGTCTATAACGCTCTCAGATCTTCTCCCACCATCAGTAATTTTAACTGATTTAAAGTCTAATGATTCTGTGAATCTGTTATTTTATCCTATTTCCTTTTCTTATCTTTTGCTTTGTCTTGATTCTATCATTGCACTACTCGCTTTTTATTCATACTTCCATTGTTTTCCATTCATAGTGATTGTAAAGCACTTTGCCTCAACTCCTCCTGTTTTTGAGGTGCTATAGAAATATGTTACTTTGCTAGAATCTAACTTTTGCTGTTTGCCAGGTAGTGATCAGCAGGTTTATCAAAGAGTTTTCATGAGGCTGATATGAGACATGAAACTAAACCAATGCAATAACAGTGGATTTAATACTGACATAGGTAGACGTAATTTGACCCATTAATGATAATGTTGCTGTCTGCATTAATAGATTACTGTCCCTTCCTTATATACATAAGTGTAGTGAATCAATGATGCAGCTTTCAGGGTTTCTTTTTTTTCTTAAATCCAAACATGTATGCTACAAGTAGAGTATCACGTTACAGAACATCAGTTCCTCTCATGATTAATAAATAGCCACCAGATACAGCCAAGTTCTGTTTTTAATAAATGTTTGTTATTTTACTACAGTAGTTTGAGGTCAAACAAAAAAAAATGCACAGCTTCTGATCTCACAGCTGACAAGACTTCATGACTTCTGGGGTCACACAGACTGAGCAGCCATCTTCTTAGCTCTGCGAGCGGCTCCGGACTTCCTTTTCGCTTTACCCTTGCTGATGGAATGTTGGGGTACATTCTTGCCTGTTTTCTTGGTGTTAGACCGATGACTAGGGGGAAGCACAGACAGGAACATGTTAGGACGTGCAAATATTTGATGTTTTTGGGAGTGATGTACAGGAACCCTCACCTCCTGATCCTGGAAATGTCTCTGCGAGGGCAGGCTTTGCGTTTGTGCAGGAGGCTGCCGCAGATGAAGCAGCCCTCCTTTCCTTCGCTCTGGCCACATGGGTGGTCTGGGAGGGCACAGCGACCACACGTCTGACAGTGTTTCCATGCTAAGAGAAGACAAATAATGAAATACACACATTAATATGAGACAAAGGGCAGTGACATGCAGTAACTCTATATAAAAGTGCATTTTACATTATCTGATGTGATTGTGTAGAAATTTACATACATGGTTTTACACATTTCTCACAGGCTGAGCAGTGTTTCCATTCACGACCATCCTGCAGACACAGAAAAGAAAGTTTCATGGACTGCTTTTATTTGAGTAAGCAACATATAATGTATGCAAAGTGTTGGTTTTATACCTTGGATGGACAGACGTTGCATTTGGCACAGTGCTTGTTGAGGGACAAGACGTATCTCTGACACACAGAGCAAAATCTAATAGGAGGAAGGGGAGGATGCATGACTTTAACATAGAAAATATGAGCTGCACAATTTCAGAGCTGCGTACTGAACCTCGAAACTTGACTTAGTCTTAAAACTCTGCGGCTGTGTTTTCGTCTGGGCTGAGGGAGAGACGCCTGCGTTTCTGATTGGCTCTTATCAGTCACAGCAAAGGAAATCTGCTGCCCAGTGTAAGTGGATGGTTATGTGATGCATTTACTGGTGTTTTGATACGGACAGAGATTATTTCTGATAGGACCATAGTCTGAACCAAGCTTCATGTCTTTGTTCCATTGTTTACATTAAAGCTGGTGAATTTTGGTTTCACATTGTAATTTCGGGAGCAGACTTAAGACTTTTATGTGACATATTAGACGTGAAAAGAGTGTGTTGATACCTGTAGCCCTCCTCTTTGGGCAGGACAACATCTTTGGGACAGATGTTGGTGAACAATCTTACAGGAGACTGCTTCCGGCCTGTCTTCCCATGTTTGTACAGAGGATGATTGTCATAGTCCACCTGTTGAGAGACAAAATATTGTTCATAGTTCAGAGACAAACTTTCTGAACAACCTGTTTAACAAGGTTTACACCTAATTTAATTTTACTTGTATCAGAAAATCTCTTAGGAAGTGAGATTTGTCCATAAACAATCTACAGTTAAGCAATAAAGAACCAGCATCTAAGTATTTGGTTATTTTCCTTATTATAAGACTACACAGTATCCAACACTGCAGATGTGATTTCAAAATCCCAAAGAGAGGCTCCATGCTTCCTGGGTCAATCTGAAGATCTTAACTCAGTCTGCCGATCACCTGTACCAGTCATTAAAACCTGTCTGTGTACCTGGTAGTCCAGCATGGTGAGAGAGGGGAGGCACTCTCGGATGCGAGGCTCAAAGAAATATGGGAAGATCCACATCATTGGCATGTCAGCATTACTGCTCTCTGCACACACAAACACACATGTCAGTAGAAACACTGGATTTAAATTTAGTATACTACACTGAGATGTGACACACACTGAGGGAACATGCTAGAAAGGGATCTAAAGACTGTTCTGCAGAGGGTTCATTTTTTTAATGTCATTAGGAAGTTAAATCTGAAAAAAACTGATGTAACCCTGTTGTGAGTTGAATGGAATGGAATCTGACCCTTCGCCAACCTAGAAACCAGAGGCTTCCCGCCCCAAAGTCTTGTCCCTCGCCAGATTCTGAATATTCACATGCAGACTATGTTTATAGAGACTAAAGTGACACTGACCAGAGCTCTGCAGCTTCCTCCATGTCTGTGAGATCAGAGAGAAGCTGTTGGCCAGAGGCTTCACCAGACCACCGAATGGAGGGTCAGCCACCATCACCACTTTCTCCTTGTCACACTCTTTGAGGAAGGCCTGCAGAACTGCACTGGAGGCCTGATAAGAGACAAACATTTAATGTGCAGGACTGGGAATGGAAATGACATGGGAAATAAAAGTGTTTAAACCTTAACCTCTCCACCAAAGAAGTGATGGTTGAACATGTTGTAGTGGCAGAACTCGTCCTGGCTGTAGAACTGGGCATATCTGAAACAGATGTGGATAAAAGACTTTGTCAGAATCACATTTATTTTGTTGTTGTGTCCAAAAACACGAGGAAATCAGAATCGGCTCTACGTGCACACACATTTAGCAAACACACTCCAGATCAGAAGTGTGTATCTTGGTAACTAAAAGGTGTGCGATTGCAACCTGCAGGCTGAAGCTTGCAACACTGGGACACACCCTCTTTGTACCCTCGGCACACTCTTTACAGAAACAGACGAGAGACGGACAAGTAGATCTCAGGTAAGAAAAGCTGGGAAAAAAACACATATGTGTAGAATTTAGTCTGGACGATGGATATAATACTTTTACAGCATAAGGAAGTCTAAAGGTTATTCTGCAGTAAACAACAAACTATGCGAAAAACTTGTTTTCACAGACTTTTCCCAAACCTGAAGGACAGGTTTTTTGCTGCAACAGCCAAAGCAAAACTAAAGACAAAATGCTTAAATAAAGTGCAAAATGACCAAATACTTCAGCTTGAGGTTTAATGTTCCTTTGTTGTTTTACTCTTTTCTCAGAAATGTCAGAAAAACAGTCATTATCAGTTGGTAATGGACAGTCAACAGCGGATCTCTCAGAGCAGAGAGGTGTCACAGCGCCCCATGCAGGCGCCCGCAATGCACTGCAGGACGGACTGTGTCTGACGGACTGGACTCCACTGGAATCCAACAGTGACAGGGTAGTTCAGCCATTCCCACGCTCACCAAAACTACAGAGGAAGAAGGGCAAAGCTGGAAAGCCCTCCCAGGTAAACAGATGTGGTGAGGCGGAAATGATTCCAAGAATTCCATGTAAGGATGTAAAAAAACATCTGTGGCGAAGAGGTTCACGTTATCCTCAGCAAGAGCACAAAACAGGTTGAGCCCTTTTCTGGAGCATAGTCAGTTGTATAGCATGTTGAGAGAAATGGACTGAGAATAATGAGAAGGTTTGTTCCCCCCACGTGCACAGTTTTGAGTTCAGTGGGCTTGGAAGCTTCCGTTGTGTTCTGTACAACTTTCAGTGCATTTGCTTATGCCTTAGGTTGCAGTACATTGTTACCTCCACCAGTCGGGTTATATATTTTTTTCATTTTCATGAGTAATGTGGCACACCTTGATGTTGGATTTTGACTCATACTATAGTCTAAGTCAGAACTAGGGATTTTTGTACAGTGGGAGAAATGTCAGCCATCTTTATACGCACAGTGTTTAATCAGGACAGCTCAACTCAAAATGTGTCTTGTGTGAAATTTAGGGGACTCACTAGATGAGACCTTTTAAGGGCTAAAACCTTTTAAAAGAAAACATGGTTCACATCTAACCTTGTTCATAAAGGTGATGCACAAATAATGCTCAGTTTACTGTGACTCTGCTCTCTACAGGAGCAGCTGTCCAGACATTTGGAAGAGCTACAGGCAGAGGGATCCAAGACTGAAGCCCACATCCAATCTCTGAAAAAGCGAAACACAGATCTCTCTGTAAGCATAGATCCAGACGCTGGCACTACTTCAAATAATTTACTTAAAGACATCAGAGTGCAGAAACGCTCATTTAAATACACGGCCCACTCCATGTTCCTCTCTGTAGAAGCGCACAGAGACAATGAAGCAGCAGGTCCGCGAGCACTTTGAGAAAATGCGAGCCGTCCTAAAGCAGGATGAGCAGGCCGTTTTGGAGTCTCTGGAGCTGGACCTGAGACGAACTAAAAGTAGACTGGACCACGTTCTGAAGAGCTGGAAGCAGCACCAGGACCAGGTCACCAAAAGCATCGACAGCACCCAGAGAGCACTGAGCAAGAGCTCTGCAGCAGAGGAAGATGGGGAGGTCTGACTCATGTCTCTCAATACCACAGTTTGAAAACATTGTAACTGTAAACTGCTGTTTTAATCAGTGTCCCTGTCCCTTTTCCCTCAAGGGTCAGTCTGAGAATCTTAGGTAAAACACTGCACCATCAGATGAATCATTTTTTAGCTATATCCACCTCAGAGCTCTTCTAGACCTCTCTGACTCTGTTTCTCATTTGGTCTTAACTTCTCTTTGATCACTCTTTCAGTCCTAAGAAGCCAGACGCCTCTGAAGTGGAAATCCGACTGAATGAAGAGAGATTCTCAAGGCTTCTCAAAACTTTATCCTCTATCTCCAAAAAGCTGAAAGCCCAGCTGCAGAGGAAGACCCTGCTGTTAGGTACTGAGCTAATTGTATTCTTCATCTGCTGTAGTGAGTCAGGAAGTTCCAAACACAGGCAAAGGAGTTGTTTTCTATTTTGGCTCAGAGCCACCAAAATGACCACATTCCTCCATTATCCTCATTGGACAACATTATGTTCTGCTGTGACTTTGGATTCTGTGTTTGATTTACAGATTCATCCCCTGTGGTGATTGACAGACAGACGTGCCATAGCCAGATCACAGTGAACTCAGAGGGGCGGGCCATGTCCTTAGGCTCAGGCTCTGGAGACCCAGCTCCAGAGCATCCTCTCCAGTTTGATAAAGTGTGCTGTGCTCTGGGTTCTTCCCCCGTCACAGCAGGTCAGAATTACTGGGAGGTCGACGTACGCTGCAGCCCCGCCTGGGCTGTGGGCGTAGCCTACACCAGCATGCAGAGGAAGGGCCGAGACAAGGGCACCAAACTGGGCCGGAACAGGAACTCGTGGTGCGTAGAGCTCCGGAACAGCAGTGTGTCTGCTTGGCACAACGACCGTCATGTGGCGTGTCAGGTGGTCGGGCAAAGACAGCTCAGAAAGGTGGGTGTGTGGGTCAATTATGACAAGGGTCAGCTGATATTTTATGACGCAGACACCATGGTTGTCCTGCAGAGGTTCTCCGCAGCCATGACACCGGTGTTCGACAGGGCTCATCACCACTTCACCGAGCCCCTGTTCCCTGCTGTACGGTTCCTGAGACCACCACAGAACCAGATGTGGCCAAACCACCTGGGCATCTGTCCCCTCCACAATCTGTGATGTTCTAAGGATACTTTAAAGAATGGGCAAAATGGACAGTGATGTGCCGTGGAGCAGCTTTTAATAACCCACTTAGCAAAGAACGCTTTGAAATGAACCATGTAACATAATAATTTCGGTTTTTTAAATGTTATTTTTTGGGAAATCATATTCATATATTTTCCTGTCCGAACACAATATGTTGGGACAGGAAAATATGGGATTCTGCATCATCACTGGAGTGTGAGATTGTCCGCCAAAGTGATTTTTTCTGTTTTTCCTGTTATGGCACATTTGATGTTTACTGTCGGTTCAAAGAATTAACTCTAACCCCTGTTAAGTCAGCAGAGAGCAGAGAAAGGTGAAGTTGGGAGATTTTCAGAACAGGAAGACTGGCAGCATAAAGTCACAAGGCAGGACAGGACAGGCCCTGGATTAAGGAGAGACTGGCTCCTACCGCTGCCAGGAAAGCACTAAGACAGAGCAGATGTATTAAACAGGGAAATATGCAACAAGAGAAAATAAGAGATATGACAAACTGACCTGAAATCAATATCCAGCAGCAGACTCTTCATTGGCTCATGTTTCTGCTCCAGGTTTCGCAGCTTGATCAGCTCCTGGAGTCTGACACCAACAACAACAATCATGAGTCAAACTGATTTCAGTGTTTAAAAAACTATTTTTTAAACTAGTGTTCCCTTGTCTCCAATAAGGAGATTAGACTGGGTTCATTTAATAGCTCTGACATTATTGTCTAACACAGCAATGTATAGCCTATCAGTGCAGTACATTAGTGAGTGTGATGGACCCTTCTAACTACAGCCCCAGGAAACCAAACCAAAAGGTGAGGTGCATCATCAGGTACGATCTTTTTACTTAATGCCTGTCATTGATTAGTTCAGAATCTAGATGAGGGGGATAACATGCTATAAAGTTACATAACCAAATGGTATGTAGTGATAATAATGTAAATACAGAGAGGAAGATGTTTTTCATTTATTTCAGCATTGTGCATGACATTTTAATGGTTGACATCTAGGAGTATCTTTATATTCTTTATATTGGCTATATAAATAATATAGCCAATATATCCATATAATTTCATTATTCCATACGATGTCTTTTCTTATCAATGTTGTTAATATTGTTAGTTTGTTGATGTGCTTGGTTACCATGGCATCTATTGCACTTCTTTACATCCTGGGAGAGGGATCCCTCACACATGACTCTCTAGGAGTTCAATGTTTTTTCCCTGTTAAAGTTTTTTTGTAGTTTTTCCTCACAACAGAGGATTTCACACCTTGTTAAGATCTATAAGCCAAATATTGATTTGTGAATATGAGCTATACTAATAAAATTTGATTGATTCACTTCAGAATTTTTTTATCTACTTAGTTTGTATTGGTTCCAAAAATCCAGTATCTACTGTCATATTTTTAGCACTTTACTACAGAGATGTGTTTTTGTGATTTGGCTGAACATTAAAAACAGGCTGAGCCGCCATAACTGAAACATGAGAGTATGTTCTAACTCAATGTCTCCCTCACCTGGGTGTGCCCACACACAGGACCTTCCTGTAGCCCAGACCAGCTAAGGTGTCCAGCAGAAAGTGTGCGCTGCGGTCGGTGAACAGGTACTGGGCGTTGCTCTTCTTGTTGTCCAGAGGACACAGCAGCATGCTGGGCCGCCTCAGCTGGGCTGCAGTGACACCTATGCATTGGTGAGAGGAGTGGGCCTCACGCTCTCCTGGCAGGAGCAGAGTCTGACAGTCCCGACAGAACGTCTTCTGATCCAGTGGGAGGGAGTCAAACTTCCTGAACCTGAGGGACAAGTTAAGAGTTGGGGCAAAAAACAAGTTGGTTAAAATGTTCAAATGAATTTGACTATACAACCATGTACATTTTTTACCAAGTCAGCCTATATCAAGCTGATAATGTCTTGTGTGCAGATAGTAAATGATTTGTGTAACATGTATCAGTCTACTTTCTATTGATTGCAACGAAAGTGTTCAGACCTGATATTAAAATGTCTCCAGTATGTCTCCTGTGACCAGACCTCACTTTCTCACTCTATATTATTGTTTCTGATGAGAGTGAGTTGGGAGGAACTGAATGAACTTATGAATGTACACAGCTAAGAAGAAAGATTTGACCCATTTAAGAAAAGTATCAATCATGCGATGGTGTTGATATTTTAGCAGGGCGGATTTGCCTTCATACAGCAAAAATAACGGAGCCGTATGACTTCCCAGACCACCGTCCTGAAAAGAGACCTCTACTTTGTTGGGGACCATGAGATCCTGCAGTTGCCTTCTCACCTGGTACAGTACGTCTGGTGGCTGATCGGGGGTCTCTTTGACCGGTTCTCTGCCTCTCTGGCCAACAGTCGGACCTCTGACACCTTCAGATCAAATAGACTCATGAATAAATGTCCACTGGCTCAATCAGAGTTTCAGATGTGTTCATATGAGCCACGTGTACCTTGTCATCCTCCCACTGGAAAAAACTGCAGTCTTTTCTGTCCCTACAGGCTGAGCAGGCATAGAATCTCCGGCCCGTCTCCCCTCCTTTGCTGACCTTCTCAAACAGCAAGGTAGGACCTGACAAAACACACGTGGCATTTATTTGGACGTTACTCTGTCCTGAACAACCCTAACACACCTGTGTGCTGCGACTGTAGCGAGAGGTGGAGTAAACTGTGGAGAACACGGGTTTAAAAGTGAAAGGCAAATTAAGACGCATGGAAACTTTCAGGATTTCCTGAAGCGGGTTGGTGTGTTTTTAATTTTTCTAGCTGTGTGTACTCACCGTGCGGGCAACATGGCGCAGTTTTACCTCCTTCTAGGAGAATAACCTCAATCCCGAAGCTGTCATCGTTGTTCTCGGCCATGTCTTTAATATCTTTCATGTCACAGATCCGGTGAGATTTCATTTAATGCCTCTAACACGAGAGTTCAGCCATGCTGCTCAGAGTCGCGCAACAATGACGTGATCAAGTTTTCGTCGCAATAAAAGCTGATTGGCTTGAAACCAAACCGCAGCATTTCTGCTGGGATCGCTCGATCATTTATTCTCTGTACATTAGTATGAGGACATTTTGAAACAGAATGTTCATATATATGCATACACAGACTGTTTTTACTTATATAGGCAGTTGTGCTATTCAAAAAGATGACACTTCTGTTAGTGACAGTCACGGTGCTCTTTGTTTACATGAGTTCAGTTGTAGTCCCAGATCAGCAGCACGCTGCTCATTAGGATGATTGTTTTCTTTCTGTAAGACTACAACTCCCATGTACCCCTTTCAGTCTGTGCACTGCGATCATGCCGAGCAGCAGCAGTCTGCAGCATGCACGCTGTTATCTAACGTGAGACAGGAAGCTGGGCGGGTTGTCCTTTCAAAATGAAAGCATGTAGCCTCCCGGTTGTGAGCATCTGTCATTGTCATGCAGAATAAACTGAATCAAAACACATTTATCACATTGGGAACACTGCTCTCCCCCCTTTTTCCACACACACACACACACACACACACACATATATATTATGTTTATATAACCCTATTCATTTAACTTTCAAACACAATTGCAATGATGATCAAATTTTGATTCACTTTTACAGGTGCTATGCATGAATAGAATTTTGTTTTTTCAGAATCAGTAATCAGTTCAAACTGGTTGTGTTTTGGAAATTTGGTTTGTTGAAAGTTTGTGTTAGAATGGCATCAATTTATGATGAATTCAGACAGGATTATGCAGTGGTTAGCAACATCACCTCACAACATGAAGCTCAGACCAGCTGAGGGTTTTCTGTGCTCTTTCTGTTTAACTAGTAATCACCACTTACTGACCCATGATCCCCAAGAACTAAATGACTTACTTAATTTGGGCTGTAAATTCATCTCTCTCTCTGAGGTTTCTACGTTCTTTTTCCCCTGTTAACATGTTTTTTTTTTTTCCTCATTGAGGGTAAGAGTATGTTGCATCTTGTTAAAGCCCTATGAGACAAATTGTGATTTGTGAATATGAGCTGTACAAATGCAATTTAATTTATTGATAAATACACATCCCAATTTCTAAATATATGATATATCAGTTAAAATGTTCTCCATGTTTCTGCACAGCTGCCTGCAACACCATCAAACCCCTCCTGGATGAGCTTCAATAAAGGCTTTTATTTTGAAATACCACACCAGGATCCCCTTTAGGTCCTCTATCTAACTTTCCCCACGGTGCGCCCACACCCACCCTGCACTGGCTGCTGTTAGAGGCGGTGCAGCCTCTGCAGTGTCTGCGGGACATTGTCTCCACAGTGCGGCTGCTTCCCAGAACACCTCTGCGGCCTCAGCGGTCCGAGCGCAGCCGACCTCCCTGCACCACTCCCCCGCGTCAACACTCCATTCATCCCGCTGCCCGGCACTGAGGCGTGTGCGCTCTGCGGCTGCTGGCATCACCATCCATGTCCTGTCAATGAGGATAGAGGCTTATTTACTGAGCATCATCTGAGCCGAGCAGACGTGTGACTGGCACCATGAGCAGCACTGGTAAGAACATGTCTCTCATACAGCTCCCCTCTCTTACACTTGTTTTTAATCCCATCAACAGCATAAGGAGCAATTCCTATATTATGGTAAAATGAAGGCTTCCAGCTGTGATCTGTCATTGCTTTGTCCTCTTTACCTGCAGTACCATCACTATGTGTGGTAAACTAAATTTATATATATAGTTACCCTGTATAATATACTTACCCTTTTTCTCCCAGAGATCATCAGCACCAGTGCGCCCACTATAATGAATCTTTCAAATTTGTCCCACTTAAATTAATGTCATGTGCACAGGCTAATTAGACAGGTTGTATAAACGCCCACAGTGGGTTTGGTGGATCTTTGCATCATGTTGCCCTGTCACTCACTCCTGAAGGCTGTTGTCCACTGCAGACAGGCCTGACTCCTGCTGGGTCTGCTGTCACAGCCTGCTCCGTCTCTGAGGAAAGACTCAACCAATGCAACAAGAGGCTGGTCCTCATTTGAATCCTGTGTGTACTGTCGAGTCCCACAGCAACACTGCTCTGTTTGTTTTACAAATGGAAATGAATTCATGCACTGTGCCAGAAGTAACACATCATAACTTCTGCAGCTGCTTCATATCAAAGACTGTCGGGGCGTAGGGTGTGGTTGTGATTCAAATGTCTAAGGAGAAAATCTAAATTCTACATAAAGGTGGTTTGAATATTTGTCTTACTGCTTGGCAATAACTATAATCTTTGCTCATTCTTATCTATGAATGAAAAGACTTGCTTATATAACATATGCTGACCCAAAAATTTAAATTCACTCATTATCTACTCACCACTATGCAGATGGAGGGTGGGTGAAGTGTTTGAGTCCACAAAACACTTCTGGAGTTTCAGAGGTAAACAGCGACGAGGCCGAATCCAATTCTATTGAGGTCACTGGTGACCACTTCTTAAAACATATATAAATAAGCAAATTCCTCTGCTGATCTCCTCCAGAGCCGTGTTCACATTCGGAGCACACAC